CAAGAGTCGGCATCTGGCGGCAGCAGTCACAGCCCAGCGTCCAACTCACAGATGAGCGGGATTCGAGAATCTAAACAGACTCACTAACTATTGGCATTAAAGCTTCAGAAATCTCTGCGTTTGATATTCAAACATCATATGCCGAAAATTTTCACAGTTTTTAGTGAATTTAAGGAATTTAGATTCTACTTTGGTATTTTTTTCTTGTTTTGATTTTTGTTTTGTTTTTGTTTTGGTTTCCATGTTTTATTGTCACACACCTGAGCACTTCCTCCAGTTGGCAAACAGAAGTTCAGGATAAGACCCTGCTGGCCTGGTCCTGGCACATCCTCTGCACTGTTGAATCACTGGACTTAGCGATGTTGGATGATCGCCCCTCTCCCTCACACCTGTGGGCAAGGTGGGACAGCCAGGTGGGCAGAGGGAAGGGAACCTCCAGCTCGGCGTCGCTACCTGAGGTTAGGGTGGGACAGGGCAGCATGCTTTGGGCTCTTGCCCTCCCAGCAGGGTCCCCTTGGTCGTCTTTGTGCTAGAGCACCCCTACCAGAGCCTTGTGGCTGGAACTGCCAGCTGTTCTCACCCAGCTCTCTGCTGACGGGATGGCTTCCCCTTGTCACCCAGATCTTGAGACCTATTTGGGTTTCCTCTGCATTTGGTCATCCCTGTTTTGACTCCTTAATTGGAGTAACCTGGCTGCGGCTGCTCAGGTCCCCGTCCTGCCCCTTCATGCCCTCTCATCCGCTCCCCCACGCCACACACACACCAGTCTTTCCACCTGGAACGATTTTACCACCTATCCTAGTCTTATCAAGGTAGGGCTAGGATTACTGTTCCCACTCCTCTGCAGACTCGAGGGGCTCTGGGACATGAGCAGCCATCTCCCCTGTATAATTCTGTTTTCACTGACCGAGTCATTGGGTCATGTTTCCTCCCCATCCAGTTCCCTGTCAATGTCAATCAGACCCTTTTTCCAGCTCCCCTTGCCTGTGGAACACTGTCTGGTCCTAGCTGTGGTTCCCATCACTCCCCCATCACCCCCCCGGGTTAACCTTGTGCCTGTTTCATGTATGATCACATCACCAAAAAGGGGGGCGGGGGGGCAATAAGGACTTTTTTTTTTGCCATTTTTTTGTAATCGTATAAAAATAGTAAACAAACTGCTTAATGGTTGGGGTTTTTTCACAATTTTCAACATTAGTGAATTTTTTTTTGATTCTGTTTGCAAGTTAAAGGGTTTGTCATTGTTTCTTTAAAAAACAATAATGCACCATATCCCTATGCATAAAGTGCTTCTTCTATTTATAAGGTTGAAAATTCTGAATAACCCTTTTAGCATTGTAAAAAAAAAAACAAAAACAAAAATGGAAAAAAAAACTTGTATTTTGTAAATATTTTCTTTTCCTGCTTTGAGCTGTGTATTGGCAGCGAGATATGTAGCTGTCTTTGTTCTATAGAAATGCTTTTCTTCAGAGAAGCTGATCTTTGTTAATGTCTTGATTCTGTTCGCAAAGCACAGACTAGTGCTTAAAAAAAAAAGGAAGGAAAAAGTCAAAAAAAAATAATAAAAAAAAAAGTTACAGAATGCTGTATGCCAGGCCCTTCTTGACACTGGACATGGTAATGGTGGCAGCTGAGGAGCCGGCCCTGGTGGAGCAGTTCTCTGTCCTCTGACTTGCCCCGAGCCTGGAGAGTCTTCTACCTTCTGGGCACCTGGCAGGGTCCTCTGATTATCACCAGAGAGAGGGTGTGGTGGTTTTCACAGGAGGAGGAGATGAGGGATGCCAGGAGGAAGGGGTCTGTTTAAAACACCTGCTTTTTCTTTTTGTTGGATGTAAGTGATTAATCCATTGCTCTTAACGTTTTTTCCTTTACTGAGGCCAGCAGTGTGACATTTTAATGGATATTTCACCCCCTTTCTGGGATTGAGGTCAGTGAGAAAGTATATACTTTGCATGGAGCCTGAACCAGCATCTTTCTTCTGAGGAGGCTAAGTGCTTGATTGTCTTTGTACAAGATGAGTCAGTGCGTAGGCCCAGTTCTCTCTTTTACTTTTTTTCCTTTCCTGGCAGTCAAGTTGAAACGGCCAGTGAGGCTGCCTGTCTGGTTCTCAAAGCCCCGAGTTCTTAAGTAGCCTTTCTCTTTGGCTGCCCTGTTGCTGCTTCTGGAGTGGCAGTTAAGATCTGCTCTACTTAAGTCTGCAGTGGTTAAAGCACATCAGGAAAAGCTGAGAAAAGTAAATATTTTGAAATTTTGTGTGAAAAAGGGTTCAGTGTTACAACCTGGACCTAATTACTAAGGAACAGTAATTAATATGATGGGTTCTGTTCTGTTTGCCTTTGTGGCATTGCTGGGGGCTATCTGGTACCCCTGTCTTAATGTAGCAGACACACTCTCCAGTCTGTAATAAGGCTCAGAGAGGAAGGCAGCTGTGTAATCCTAGAAGGCATCTAAGATACCCATTCAGCTGACTGGCCTAACATTCTGCTTCAGCCCCAGACCTCTAGGCTATTTTCCAGGGACAAAAAGGTCTCACACAGCCACCCCAGCCTTCTAAGGTATGGGTCTTACAGACTTGAGTGCAACCTTGTGAACCCAGTACAAAGGTACTGCCCTTTGAGGTGGACCAGGGTGGTTTGCCAGCACCACGATGGGAGAATCAACGGAGAGTCTTAACAAGTCTGAGAGCTCTCCTTTCACTTTCAGGGCCCCAAAGCCAGCTGGTAAATCCTGATGCGCAGCTTTTAACAGTATTGGTGTTCCTGAGCTAAGATCTCTCAGGCTGGGAAAGGACTTGGAAATCATACATCCTGTATTATTTTCTGGTCCTCTGAATCCATGCACAGAGACCTTATTTAATCAGAGTAATAACTTTATTTCCAAATTCACTTATACAACAACTGTGTAAATCATTTGTTAAAACACACAATACACCATATGGACATTCACAGACAGGAAGCTAAGCTAAGATGGTTTCATGTCCCTCCCCCCACCCTCAAAATTACCGAAGAAATCATGGGACTTGCAAGTGCCAGAAATTGTCCTGCCCAACACTGCAAATGCACGGAGCTCAGTCCATTAGGAGGTGAGACCCTGGGTCAGTGCCCAGGGTAACCCTTTTCAAAGCTCAAGAGAAACCAGAAGTCTCTTGAAGCTACAGATCTGTAGATGTGACAAGCTGATGACCACCTCCACCTCTGCCCTCATCCCCACCTCCTGGCTTTCCTTGAGGGACAAAGATAAAAGGGTGAAGAGATCTTGGCAGCTGCTAGCAGTATTGGCTGTGTGTCCGGAGCTGGTGGGAAAGGTGACATAGAGGTGCCAACGACTTAGAGGAAAGGATGCCAGCATATCTGGAAGGCATGATTGTGGGCTTGGGACCCCTGCAAAGGGGCAGCAGGCCAGAGCAACCATATCTCCAGATTCCTCTACAGGCCTCACTGCCTGCACCTGGCTGGGAAGGAGATGGGAACCAGCTGGCAGCCTGTTGCACCCATCAGTGAAAAGCTGAAATCCCAAGGACCTCTAGCACATGTGGTTGAAATCATGAAAAGGGTTGCAAGGCCATTGGAACTGGCATGGCCAGTGGAACTGCTGCACTCCGAGACCCTCCCTTTGCCCAGCGGTAACTATCTTACAGGCTCCTCCCCCCACCCCCCCGCCAGAGCTCAACAAGCAACCGCAAAAGGGTACAGTCTCACCATTGAAGTCGATTTAAATGGAACTATGGCTAAAGTGAGTGGAGAGCGTGAAGGAACTGGGTGTATAGCATATCCTATCTAGCCCACCCAAGGGACACTGGAGGAAAAGGGGGTGGGGAGGTGGCCAGCCCTGGGGGGATTGTCCTCATTTTAGGTTATAAGCCAGCAGCATTCCTTTGCAAACTACTCCCTGCCAGCACTGACCTGATCAGCCTGAACTGTGATCTTTAGGCTAATCCAGATAGCCCACCCAATGGGAGACTCCAGAGACCTCAGAGTAAGTACTGAAGAGCAGGGCACAAACCACAGGATGAGGTGCAAGAAGAAACGCAGCCAAAATGGGTGGCAGTAATGAGGGGCCGCATCTCTCAACAGCTACCAAACCTTGACACCACGTTTCCTTTCTCTTCCTCAGAACCATTCTAAAAGCAGCTGGGACTCAGGACAGAGCAGAGCCTCACAGTGGGAAGGTTTGGGCCCAGATGATCCCTTGCATGGAAAGCTCTAGCGGCAAATGAAGCCTTCAGCCCTGGACTCTACCACTCAACCTTCCAGGGTTGCCTTTAACTATACCCAAATGGGATGTGGCAGAACTGGGCCTGAGGCTAATTTTTTGTTTTTAAACAGCAGATTTCTACAAAGGCTACTTCCCTTTCCCCATGTCAGGAGATGGGACAGGTGCAAGGTCAGTGGGGACTCTGGCCAAGACTTTGGAAATGGTGTCTCCTGACTTGTCACCCTTCCTCTTTCAGGCAGCTCAGGCCCCAGGAGCTGGTCCAGGGCAGGCAATCCATCTCAATCCCTGCTGTGGTCGTAGGGCCTTGGGTGAGGAGGTCTGGGCCATCCTTCCTGAGGGAGAGCTTGGAGCTGGACCCCAGGCTGAGGGGTGGGCTGTAGACCTTTCCACAGCTGGCGCCCATGATGCAGGGAGCTGGAAGACCCTCTCTCAGGGTGTCTGTGGGGCCCAGAGAGCGCCATCTTCATGCTGCAAACCAGGCCAGCCATAAGACACGCCAGCCTCTGCCTGACAATGGGGAGCCCTGGGGGCGGGGAGGGGGCACCATAGCTTCTGTCTTCCCGTGCTTCAGGCCTGCTTCTCAGCTGAGGGTTCTCAGATGTCAGTCTGGTCTCTGTTGGGTCCCAGGTGCTGATGAAGGCCTTTCAAAACTTGAGAGGCCCCACCGGGGAGAGCCACGCTGGCCTTCTGGAGCTAAGTCCCAGATCGGGGGGGTGAGAGACATCTAGGAACCCCATGAAGGTGGGTTAGAACCTCTTTACAAGCATTTCAAGATACATGCGTCCTTTTTTTTTTTTTTCTTTTCACTATCATAGTCACTCTGGTGAATCCAAGCATAAACAGACAAATCCGACTACAACGCGACAGGGTGCAGACGGGGAGGGGAGGGCGACATCTATGTATATGTTCAGCTGCTCCAGTAGGACAGACAGCATTGCTTCCAGCTGGGACTGGGGGGAGAACCATTTCCAAGGGGGCACGTTCCCCTTTTTGTGGTGTGGAGGGCTGGTTATGAGCACTGGGGGTTGAGCAGCAGCTGGGCTCTCACAGGCTGGCAGTCATAAGCTGTGGGGGATGGTGGGAGTGTAGTCCTGTCCTGGGGGTCTTGCCGACCTGTACCAAGGCCATCTCTGGCACCCAAGACGGCCAACCTGCGGTCAGCACAGGAAGGGGACCAGGCCTCTGGGAGGAAAGGCTCTCCAAGTCAACAAGGCATAAACATCCAGGGTCGTTGCACACCCCACCACCCCGGCTAGCTCACACCTGTGATGGGGGGGTGGGGCGGGGGACTGAGTAAGGGCATCAGGTTGTTGCCAGGGACACGCCAGCTGGATGAGTGGAACTTAGACTGAGACTGAGGATCCCCCACTATGTCTGGACTTTGCCTCCCACTTTACTCTCCCCCTTGGTTTAGAGTAGGTGCCTCTGCATCTAAATAATGTCCATTACTGAGAAGCAGGGGTGGTGAGGCTAGGAACTCAGGACAGTGTGACGAGGGGTACAGGCAGTGACTGGGCTCCACACGGCAGACACAGGCATGGCGGGGGCAGACAGGTGGCTGCGGTGGCCGTGGGAGAGAGGGGAGGCTCAGGATTCACCTCCCTGACCCCCACACACTCCAGAGATGCCAGAGGCCTAAACTTGGGAAGAGGCGGATATCTCCCAAGAGGCACAAGTCCTTACAAAGAGAACTGGTTAGCCCTGAAGTCCCTGATCTGTGAGGTGGCCAAAACCGTGGGTGCAGTTCCAACCCTCAGAACTCAACAAAAGGGGTTTCCGTGGGGCAGAGGGAAGCCCATCAGCCTAGGACCCCGCCCTGCAGGGAGGGAGGAAGAGGCCAGCACTCAAGTAGGACTTGAGTCCTACTCAGAGGATATCAAGTAGGTCTCAGAGGAAGTGATCCACTCCTGCCAACCTTTCTCCTGCTCACTGTACCTTCACGGCGTGGGGGGATTGGAGCCCCTCTCCCACAGACCGCCCTCCAGAGGGTGGCACTGACCCGCTGCAGGAAGGGAGGTCACTTGGTCTGTTTTCTGCTGCCCTTCCAGGCAGAACTCAGGGCTTCTCCCCTACGCCCTTCCTTGCACACCTCCCCCTGCCCGCTCCCCCCACCCGGCCCCTGCAGCAGCCTCTCCGGGGCCCTCCCCACCCCACCCTGTCCTGCTCCAAAGGTTGCCCTGTGCCTATGGCTCCAACGCACCAAGTTTCAAGTCCTTTGTTGCCGCCGCTGCCTCTCTAGCACCCCCAGGATGGGGCCCAAGGAGGGGTGCCCCCGTCCCTTGAGAGTCCCAAGAAGCAGCTTTCAGAACCTCTCCTCCCTCTTCTACTCAGAGGAGGAAAAAAAAAGAATCAAAAGTAATTGCCCGAGGAAATTCTGGGTGTGGCCATCTTTTTAAATGTTCTTAAAAATATTTTATTATTATTGGCCCATCCATCAATTTGGAAAGATGAAATTTGCTCTTATTCCCATCACTGATTTGGAAGTCCCGAGCCAGAGCTGAGCGACAAAGCAGGTTAAGTGATTAACCGATTAACCGATCTGTGAGGAGCAGCTGGGGGAAGGCAGAGGGCGAAGGGCCAGATCATTATTCTTTTTTTTTCCACACTCTCTCACTCTCTTCTCTCCACGATTACTGACCGCCCCGGGGGCCCGATCACAAACCCTGCTTGGCCAGGGAGGCGGACACCTCGTCGGCTAGCGTGGCGAGCTGCGGCGAGTCCACCAGGTCGATGCTGCCGGTGGAGGAGACATTGCTGAGGTGCCGCGGAGATGTGTCCCCCGACACCACAGGCGACTTGTACACAATCTCTGCCCCGTGGTCTGTCTTGGCTTTGGCGTTCTCGCGGAAGGTCAGCTTGTGGGTTTCAATCTGCGAGAGGAGGTACAGGAGGGTGAGCCAGAGACAGAAGGGAGGCCCTGCCAGCCAACCGCCTTGGGTGGGAGGGAGCCGTGATGGCCCCTACGGTTTCATCATTTTCCAAAAGCTAAGGCTTGTGCAGGGTCCTGCTTACCTCCCAGCCAGCCACCCAGTCCCCCTTCAAGGAGGCAGTGACCCTTGTGAGTTTCTTGCTACCTTTCCAGAGAAGTGCCGCACATGCAAACGTGTTTGAGTATAGAAAAAAATATATATATCTATATGTTAATACATATGGTAACAATATCCACATGCTTTGCACTTTTGTTTTTAGATTTAATACCTTCCTTTATCAGTACATAATTCCCCCACGCTCATTGACTGCTGTGCAGTTTTCCATCACAGCAGGTGTACCAAAATGTATCTACTCCCCTGTGGGTAGATATTTAGGTTATTCCAGTCTTTTGATCTCACAGACAATGTTGTGCATAAGTAACCCTGGATATCTTTGTACCGAATTTCATTTCACACACGTACTGTAAGTGTATCCCAGCAGTGGAATGGCTAGTAGGTCAAAAGTCATGTGCATTTTACTTTAATACACACACGCTGCCAAACTGCCGATGCAAATGGAGGAGGGTCTAAAGTAGATTAAGGGACGTGCCCGGAGCCCCTGCCGTCCAGCTGTGAGCCACACACAGTCCTCCCCTTTGCCAGTGACTGATGATGAGGCTGGAGAGGGTAGAAGCTGGGGGCAGCACTGGCAGGTGTACTAGAGAACGTGATGCAACAAAGCCCTTTTTAAAGTAGAGAAACGATGACTGGGAGGTCTTACGAGCTCCAAAGGACACCTGGGAAAGTCGGAAGCAGAAAGCATTAGCTAGAGCTGCCAGGAGTACATAGTAATTCTCTCCTGATGAGCCCTGAAGTGGTGGACACGGTAATTCTCCAACCTTTTTGGGTCCTGAGACCTCCCTGAGAATCTGGTGAAACCAGAAAAATGTGTACACATGCCTGCATGCTCTCACACACATTACAACTTCTCCACACAATTTCAGGAGTCCCTGGATTCCAGGTAAAGAACTTCTGTTGCAGGAGGGCTAGAGCATAGAGAAAAAAAACAGGCTCCCTTTAAAGCTACATGTTATTTTGTTCACTTTAGGGTTACTGATTTGAAAAAAAAAGGACTCTTCCTTATTACTATAACAAAAGCCATTTTGACATAAGCTTTGACAAGAACACTTATGTCCTTAAGAAAAAATGACAGCATCCTGGGAATGTCACCAAGTCTCCCAAACTGAAAGGAACTCAGAGGGTCCTGTGCTCCACTGCTTGTCAGCAATTTTGCTCATCACAGAAGGAAATGGGGGAGTGAACATGAGGGAACCCTCTGGGACTAGGACACTGTCTCCTGGGCAAGGCCCACCCTTTCCGAGGCATCACAGAGATGAGTTAAAACAGAGTTCAGAGGGAGGTGCCAAGATGGCAGAGTAGAGAAACACAGCTCGCCCTCTTCCACAAATACAGCAAGAATTACATCTACAGACCCAATGAATCA